GGAAGAGCAGAGAGTATGTAACCTTTTAGGCAAGCAAGAACTTGTTTTATCACTGGACTTTGCTGATGTCTCATCTGACTGACCAGGTACTGAATTTTGCTCTGATTCATCAAAATCTAAGTTCTCAGGAAAATTTGTTGGGCAGGTCCCCCAAAAGCCTGATTTTCCTGTAGTAAAGCAGTTTAGCTTCTTTTCGCTGTTACAGCTGCTTGTGCTGTGCTCTGGAGAATCTTTGCTGCAATCATCTGAAGTGTCACGAAACTCTTCAAATTTCAGTTTTCTCAGGAATGTTGATGGTTTCCTTGCATTTTCTTTTCCATCAGGAGTGTTCAACTGAAGGCGACTGAGAGACAGAAAAGGAGTGCACGGTGGTGGAAGATCATAAAGTTCTTCATCCTTATATGGGGTACATTCCTCAATTTTATTCCACTGCTCTTCTAAGCAGGCATCCATATTTGTAGTATTTTCATCCAGGAGAACCCCCTGACATCCTGGAAATAGTTCTTTCTTTGGGGCACACTGGGTATTTGAGCCATTTGAACCATCTTGACTAGAAGAGCTTAAACAAGTTCCACTGGTTGTCAGCTGTTCAAGACTGTCAGGACTTTGACTGGCAGTCAAAGCTTTTTTGTCCTCAACTTGGGTTTTCAAACATGTATCTTCACTGCTCTCAGGTCCTTTAGCATCTGTGGAAAGCACTCTCTCACTAACAGCACTCACTGTCTGGGTTCCTTCGCCTGCATTTTTCAGCTGTAAAAGCTGACATTCCATTTCTTCTATGTATTTATCACTTCTTTCCAGTGCCTTTTTTAGACGGTTCATTTCACGTTCACTTTGTTCTACTTTGGACTGAAGTGCAGCTACTGTAAACCTACCAAACCTGCAAGAAGCAAAAAAGAAAGAAAATATTAAGCTGGAAAAAGACATTCTCGTGGTGCTTTGCAAGCTCATTTAAAGAAAGAATAAACCATTAAACGCTCTGTTAATTTGAAAACAAAAGTCAGAACTTTTCTCTGCTAGTTATGAAAAAGAATAAATCATCATATATAATGTACAGGTGGAGGTGAATACCTGAAAAGCCAAAATTAAACTATTAGTGGTAGTGAGGCAATAACACGCAGATTACCCTTTCAGGGGCTGGTTCTATCAATTCAACTCAAATATGCATGAAGAATTATCCCCTAAAACAATGGCAAAGATTTATGATAACATTTGAACAGTGGTCCACATCTTGAAATATTTACATTCAATCATTTTCCTACAGTACAGCAGTGTTTTACAATACATTTTTTACACAATGTCACCTTGTCAAATATAAAATGCCAATATGAAATTCAGAAATTGCAATAGTCCTTTGAGGTGGTTTAAATACTTATATAGACCATTCCAATTATGTTCCCGTTAGATATACAGCTTTTCCTCAGCCGTCGTGTGGATGGTACTTCCACCTACTTCAGAGCTACTTGTTTTTTTGAGCTTTACAACCGGAACAATCTAATTTCTTCCTTGACTCTAATACAAAAAACCTGCCACCTGTGGTTTGTGAAAGTTGTGTGTTCGTGGGGCTTCCAGCTTGAGCACATTTTCAACTGCCAAGATACGGACTTGCCTTCCTCCCATCCTCCACCAGCTTTCAAGACTGACCTTCCCCAGAGGGCAGGTGAAGGTTTCAGCTATATGCCCTGACTAATTCTAACCTGTCTCTGACAGGTGGGCACCAGGGAATTCCCTGCTCCATCCGAGGCTTTCAATTTACAGAAAGAAAAAAACAATTAAAGTTCTGGTATTATTAGGAAGGAGGGAAGGACCTGCAGCCACCCTACAACTCTGACACATGAGGTTTTATATCACAAAGAAATGACAATTCTCTATGTGGGCTTACACTAACCTGCACTTTCCATCTTGCAGCTCCATGTTACAGCACAAGTTTATATTCACTCTTCTAGCACAAACACTGCCTGGAATTTCCACCCCGTTTCTTCATCTGTCTGTCCCTCCTTCAGCATCTTTCAGAGATAATTCCCATTCCATTTTCCTCATTCCGTCCCCTCACCCCTTTGCAAAATGCTCCCACTGCAACCCTTAGACCAGTGAGGTCTGAAGGTGGTATATCTGTGGCCTGCGACTATGCTGGCAAAATATCCATGAATCTATGCATGCATTTTGAGTAAAGAACTGAACTGTATTTTGTTTCTTCAATTCCTGAGCCCAAAGCAGTAGGAAACTGCTCTGTGCTGACAACTGCAATGCATTCAGGTGGGCAGCTGGCGAAAGAAATAAGGGGTATCACAAGCCCCAGACAAGCTGGGCACGAGTGACCAGATCTACTGACATATTTCACAATTCCACTGCTTCTGCACGTTTAAAGGACTTTGAAGATTTTGGTGTAGATGGTTCAGTGGTGGGAAGATTCACGCAACAGTCTAAGTCAGTTGTTTCACAGAACTGTTACTAGACCACTTTTTAAATCAGATCAGCCTAAGCTCCACGCAGTTTTGGTATGTGCCACTCACTGCTTTGTAGACACAAAATGGCAAGGTAGCAGTTTTATATTTAGAATAGGAGTGTTCACTCAGTAAGATTTTTTCCCCTAAAAGAAGCTGGCTGGATTGGAACCCTATTGAAGCAAGGACTGCCTCCCCATCTCCACATTACCTCTACCCAATTACCTTTGTCTTCATAAAAAAGAAGACAGACCATTTTGCATTTGCTTACTCTATGGGTAGCAAGTTTTCTCAATTGATTATAGCAGTTTCTCTACTTCTGGTTGCATGCAAGAGGGAAATGGGAGAAAAGGTGCATAAGACTTCCTCCCTCTCCCCTATGAAACTAGATTAAAGCGGAATCACAGACAGCTCAGGAATGTTTTAATTATATTTTCAGATGAAGGGGGTTACAATGAAATAAGCGTCGTCATACACAACACATTTTGTCTTCTTCCCTCCTTCAGTAAAAGTAACTCAGATTTTGGTTTAAAATACTGAAGGAGCCACTGTAGCACAGCAGGGCCCAAGAAAGACCCTTCCTGTTTCCTAGGGTGATTCAAAAGTATTTATTTTGCCTTTTGCTAACAGATCTGTTCACACAGCCTTACAGGAGCAAACCTTACACTGCTTAATAAAGGATATAAAAATGGTGCAAAAATACAACTTAGCTTAACATCCAAGCGAGAGATGGGGAAAAATGCCTATGTAAAATAAGGAAGATTTTCTGGGGTCTGCTGTAACAGACGCTTTGACATAAAAATTCAACGTGTTTACATTTATATGCATACCTGGCAATTCCTTTCTAATGGAAGAATGGTGTAGTATGTTTATTTAATGCAAATAGCATTAGTGACAGCCAGAGATTTGCTTATGAGGAAGAAGTAGTGTATTCTCAAGTGCAACTTTTATAACAAGTGTCCTCCGGTTAAAAAAAAATACAGTATGTTGTTCAAAGCCAAACAGCATCACTAATATGTTAATTGTTGTAGAGGGATGTGCTTGGGAATTTTGGTTTTCAGAAATGGAGCATCTGACACGCTGCCTACAAACAGTTACCTCTGCAGTTAAGCACCAGAACAGTAGTTGCTTTCTGTTCCTGCTTTGAGACTTGTATGCATTTATTTCCCAGATTTTCAAGGACATGGATTTTTAAGACAGCCATATTACAATGCACATATTTAAACCAATTACTCCAGACCAGAGCATGACATAGGTGTTTTATTGACTGATCTGGCAGGTCAGCAGATAGTTTAAAAGATATGCATATTTTGCTTAAAGAAGCCAGAATCCTCCCCATCTCCCCAAAGCAAACCACTCTCCTAAGAGATCTCCTATGTGCCATAGCCAGAAAGTTATGGTCTGATGATAATAATAATAATAATAATACAATGCAGTACAGTTACATGAAAAGAAATTAAGATTTGGCCTGACACTCTAGATAAATTATTTTTCCTGAAGTATTTGAACCGTTCCACACTTGGTAACAATTTGATACATTGTTCAGCAGAAGTTAAGGTATTCATTATACGTGTGGTAAAGAGCACTTTTCATACCCTCACGGCTGGACCAAGTCTTTTCAGTGTTAGGGTCTTGTTCTTTAGCTGTATCACTTAAACAATGAGTTTGTATCTCATTGCATTTGTTTCCATTACATCCTCTCTACAGAAACCTGAAAGCCCAGAGAAACTAGTGGTCACTCAAAGTGAATAGAGAGACATTTCAGGTGGGATTTGGATCCTTCAACACAGAAACCTAGTGACATTTTAAATGGCCTAAGGTCTTTTATACGACTGCTGGCCTCCAGCTATCACTCTGGAAGGATACAGGTCTCCTATAGGTCCTGTATCGCAGCTGCCAGCCCCAGGCAGGCGTACTGGATATGTTATAGTGTCTGAGGTGACATTGGATGTCTAGATGAGCACTTGAACCTTATATTTCAGGACCTTTCCTCAGTTAGAGTCCTTCTTCTTGTCCCAGCATTATTCTAACTTGACACCAATCAGAAAGCTGCAGTCAGCTCTCATCTACATTGACCAAAAAGAACTGACATTATAGCTGTAATGTTTGAGTAACCCTCTTTCACATTATTCCACAACTGCTCCCTCCGTTATGTTCGAGTACTCCTGAAGATGTCCATTTAGAAACTCTTTGGGAAGTTTAAAAGTCTCTCGCTCACAAAAGAACCAATTTCGTCAGTTGTTTCTTCTCTTCTTATCTATCAGTTTTGCAAATTCAGCTTTAGGGTTTTATTTTCACACATCAATGACCACTGACTGTAGCAAGTCTGTCTACCTGAGCCCTTAACTCAGTTTAAAACCACACAACCTCATACAAACATTCCTCTTTGTGTATAGTAGGCAGCTGCAGCAAACAGTTCTCCTGTATAACCATTTACAGAAGACTGGGGTGGCAAGGATGCCATGGAAGACGACTCTCCAGTTTGAATCACCTGATGGCCCAGACTGGGGACCACCCTGCAGCTCAGATACATAAGCATGATCCATCCTCCAAAGGAAACGGAGGGTGAGAAGTGGGAAATGACAATGTACAGTCAGGGCTTGCCACAGTTCAAGATCAGGGCAATGCCAGAATGCACAACCAAACCCAGCCCCATCATTTAAATACACATTTTCACTTGGGTTCTGCAGTTAGATGGGAAGAAAGAGGTAGGAAATCCAAGACCAAAACAGCTGAAAGCCCTACTAGTTTCTACAGCCCTTCTGTGATATCATGTACCAGATGCAGCTGGATGAGAACGCATCCTGCAATCATCCTCTACACCAACTATGAAAGGTGATTTGCAGTAACATCTTGACCATATCCCAGGTTATATACAATTGCCTTAAAAGTGTGTTGTATTTGCATGGGCGCATTTAAGAAGAAAAAACAAACAGTTACTGTCAGATGGGGGCTTTTTCCTAGCAAGCAAAAAAAAAAAAGTCAAGAGATACACCTGAAGTATGTTGCTCTATTTAAGATCTGAAGCCAGAAAATGAAAAAAAAGAATCAGTAATGGAATATAGATCCACTGAAGAAAAAGTCCTGGGCATAGCCCGCTACTGCTTTCCATTCTGCAGACCAGGCTGGCTGACAGAAGAAAGTGTACCACTGCTCCTTCTTGAAGGAAGTAGTATAAACATTTGCTATAACTAATTTTCTAAGCTTGTAAAAGATCAAGTTATTTTCAATATAAGCAAATAAGGGGCAGTAAATCCCCCTCCATTGCACAGTTCACAGAGTACAAACCAATCGGAAGACACATGGTCTTCCTCATGAAATCTCTCCTGAGCACCAGGGAAATCCACTTCCTTCACATCCCACGAGTAAGGCTAAGCTTTACTGTTTGTTGGATGACTGCAGAGCAGCAGGATTTGAACAGAAGAACAGCCAAGGTCCATTCTTTGAAAAGAGCTTCTCCTTTCACCTAGGGAATTGGGTGAATTCAGACAAATGTGCAAAACCTCTCCAAGCATTTTAACATCTTTCAGTGAAGCAGCACTGGTCTTCCAAGTAGGAAAGCCAGATTATACCCGAGGCCAGTGAATAGCATAAACCAGAAAGGATTACTTCAGAATTACTGCAAAAAACCACCGGGCAACCCACAAAACCGAACAGTGAGATCTGAATGTCCTTACCCATCTGCTTAAAGTTTAGATCTTTACGCCTGGAGTGGGTGCTTCCTCAGGGTTTAATGCTGTGACTCAAGAACTCAAAGTTGTTTTGAAGGCTACTGAATAGCATTTTCTCCTATTTACTTTTAAGGCCACGCTGCAGCTGGTCTTTGAAGAAGGCCACTCCTCTGTGACAGCAAGCTTGCGGGCTGCTGAGAAAGAAGCCCAGTTTTCTACCAAGGAAGATAGAAGCGTTCTTACTCTCTGCACCCTGGACATAGGTTACTAGAAGCCTATTTGTAGGCTCAGTGAAATGCAGACTGAATTAAATAGTCTGGCATGAGTGGAAATATTTGAGTTAGATAAAAATTGAATGCTGTACAGAATGACCTAGAAAGTCAACAGGCTTAGATTTCAGTGTTCAGGTACCTGAAGTCACAAATCTAGACAAGATAAACAGTAAAACTGGAGAAAGGGAAAACAAAACAAAACAAAACAACAACAATAAAACAACTCACAAAACCAGAGAAAAGAGATAACACAACAATTTTCTGCATGTTACAGATAGTTTTTCAGACTGGGATTTTAACTGGCAGAAGAAATTAAATATTTAGGGAAAAGACTCCTAGGAAGCCCCGCAGTCTGGTTCAAGCTAATTTGAATCTAACCATTCATAAAATACACTATACCCTGGAGTAGATGGACTTGCTAGTTATTTTCCTTCAGGTAAAAAGCAAACATCCCTTTGCCAAAAATGCTTTTAGATCCATTGTGCCTTGCCAATAGACCTAACAGTTTTCTATTTTAAGTAGAGCTGGAAGTAATAGGGCTTTATCATCCTGCAAAACTTAAGTTTTAGAAGTTTTCCTGTTCTGTATCAGGAAAATGGAAGTCACTGAAAATTCTTCAGGAGAAAGAGCAAACAAAGAGCAAGCAACAACCACCAAACACTCAGTCTGATTTGCCTGAGCAATGGGAGACTAACACAGGTCTTTGGTAAGAATCAGAACAAGAAATTTGCCTCTATTTGCTTTTCAGACCCATGCCCCAACTATATGATGGTTATGGTGTTCTGGTGAAGGTCTATTCTCAGAAATGTTTCATGAAAAAAAAAATTTAATCAATCAACATCATCAATTAAAAAATTGTGTAAAAATCCCTGACATGGCTGCAATGTCAATTTTATTGACGTACATGACATTTTTCAGCAGGTTTTAATGGATACGAACAAAGAAAAAACAACTCAAGACTATGATAAAAGGAAAGTTTTTTATTGACCACTGAAGAAGGCCAATTATATTTTTCCTGTGATGTCAGAGGTAGAGTCTGTGTTACAAAGGGATCATTCACCTGCCATCAGTGTTACCTTTGCTATAAAGCAAAGCCTACTAAAATAATTTAGGTTGTGATATTTAGCTCCCGTGTCATTATGCACAAAATGAACTACATTCAGGATAAGGGGACTGAACTATGACAAATCCTTTCAAAAATAATTTGATACAAGTTTTAGTTAGTTACCTAGCCAGTTGTTTAAGCATGAATCCATACCCGACAATCTGAAGCTAAGGAATATATGACAAATGAAACAATGGTGGTGACACTAAATTATGAAGATCCAATCCGGTAGCTATTTTAAATTGCACTATAGTGCCATTCAGAAGCTTTTTCCAAAAATTACTTTCTGAACAGTCCTTCAATTCTGATTTCATAAGCAAGGTAAGAAAACAGATATTGCACGCCCTGTTCAGTGTGCGAAGCCTAGCTGAAAGACCTTTTAGATATTATCAAAGTGTGCCATCAGAACTGGAAGAACATTTAAAAAATGTCTTGATGTTAGGTCTGGTCTAGATATTGACCAGACTAATGACTACAAGGGTGAAAGTTAATTTATAAAATCTGCTAACAACACTAAGATGGGAAAGACTTCTTACCACCTGAAGGACATGACTGGAATTCAAAAGAATTGTCTTAAGTTTGACATGTGCATCAAAACATCAACCTGAGAAAACCAATAAATGGGTGAAGTCCCACACTTTGGAAGGGGACATCAGCAGCACAAATGCAAAATGAAGTAGGAAGGTAACTTTGTAAGTAGCTATTTAGCAGAACTGGTACTGGCCATTCGTGCTAGAAATGCCAGGTAAAAGGAAGCAACAAAAAGGGTATTGCAGGATATCGATATAAGATGTTGTAGCAAGGCACAAGACAGGTTTTCTGCTCTTAGTGCTACTGAAGCGTCATTTGGAATCTAGTACCCAGTTCTAAGCATTATTGCTTCAGAAAACCAGAGACACTGGAGAGCCCTGAGAGTACAGCAAAATCAAGCAAATCAGTTTACTTTTTCTCTTAAGTCACACTTACCTAGAAGAACTGGACAAATTCACTCTAGAAGACATGACTAGGACTGAATGGCTATAGGTAGGGTGAATCAAAATTGCTAAATTTAAGGTGCAGAAGGGCTTCTCCCAGGACAAATTTTTCCTTGCATATACTTAAATTCTTGTAGTACACCACTGGGCTCAAAGTCAAACTAAAGCTGAAGATAGCAGAAGCAGGGTACAGACATGCAACTGCCTACACTCCTGAAGTGTTTGAACTGTGTGTGGCCCAGCTTAAGCCTGATTCAACTCACGTGCTCAATTCCCATGCACAGTTCTAGAGTTAGCACAGGCCAAAGATCATTCCCATTCCCAACAGGCAGGTAGGATATGACTATTTGTCTGGAGATTTAAAAAAAAAAAGTTTAATAGTAGTGACACGGACAGGCCAATCTAACTGGCATCTGGGTTGCAAAACAGACCTTGACACTGTCCAATTTCTAATAACATTTGGCTATATCTGTGCTTCTAAAGAAGAAAGTGACTGGCTGTTGTTTTAGGCCACACTGGCAGAAGATAGGAAAATAATCAGCTTGCAACAAAGACTAGTTCTTCACACACACACTCCTCCAAAATCTAATTTTCTGACCAACAGGATTGTAAAGCATGCACAAGTTAGATAAAATGGAAATTCTCTCCACTGGGGAGTTTACCTGACATCAGTAAAGGAAAATCAAGTTAGATGATCTGGTCTCTTCTAGCTTTTCTCTTCTAGGATTTATTTAGTTACATCTATTGACTTTTCAAGTTTGGCATCCTTGCCAACTCACTCTCAAATCTTATGGGAAAAGACATTCCATGCCATTAAAGCCCTCTCCATTGCCAAGACCTTAAACAGGACTCTATCTCCCTTATTAGGGGACTTTAGGGCAGAATATACTTTTATGCATTTAATAGCATAGCACAAGGATCATGCATCTTCTTTCCTGTGGTCTTGAATGACAAGCAGTCTGGCAAGCAAGCTCTCTATAAGGATGAATTTCATCTTCCAGCAAGTGAGTTGTGAACTAGAACAAAAACCAGAGATCTCTCTTCACACATTACACAGGTACCCCTCAACCCCCTTCCTCAAAAACACTGTATAAACCTCCGGCCAAAGCTGCTCTTAGCCTTCTAAGTTCTAAACCAATGAGAGAAAAAAAAAGTAGAAAACCAATGAGAGGAAAAAAGGTAGAAAACCAATGAGAGGAAAAAAGGTAGAAAACCAATGAAAGAGAGGAACACAATTTTAAAAACATGAACATGTTGCTTCACAAAGTACTTCCAAGGAGAGGTACCTTAGCACACAGCTGTAATCAGTATGGCAAAGTTTCTGCTTTTTGAAGTCATTGTCATTTATGTTTTAATTGTTTAAGACAGAGTATTAAACATAGATGTCAGTTCTGGGAATGATGTTCTCATGCTGCAGAAGGTCGATTCTACGTATCTTGCCCAGACACCAAGCTATCGGGGACTTTCCTTGAACAGAGAGCCTAAGTCCACAGAAAAAAACCCTGAAGGCAGCAAAAGGAAGAACAAACCAAAACAAATACAAACAACCAGAACCTTTACACTCAGTAACAGACCACCTACTTTGACCATATACCAGATTTAGAAATCTCCCAATAACAAAAATAAGTTAACTGTAGAATTCAACTAATAAACCCAGTCCTTCAATATTGGGCAGATAATGCAAGGAATAGCACTTGTAGTCATGTCATATTCCTTCACTGCAGACTTGCTGCTATTCTGTAAGTTGCATTTGTCACCCAAGTCTATGAGGATAAAAATTCCGAAGTCTACCTGGAGACACATATGCAACACCATGTACACCACCACAGTTTTAGGTTAAAGTCCTACAACAGTTAAACAGTCTATAAATAAAATATGGTAGCTTTTAAAATATTCACATACTTTTGGGGTGATCTACTATCAACTTCAGCTTTTAGTCGCAAATTCTCTCTTAAAAGGCTATTGTTTTCCATGCTCAGTTTCTTATTTGCCTAAGGAAAAGAAAAGGAAAAAATAAGTATACAGTAAAACAGAAATGACTTCTAATATTTATAGGACAAGCTGTTTCTCCTTTTTAAAGAGACAGAACTAGAAATGCGAAGGCACGAAACAGCCTTCAGACAGGGACACCACTTAAAAATCACCATGGGAAATGGCTTGCAAAAATGAATAGCGAACAGACATTTTTTATTTATATTCCCAAAATACATCGCAAGTGTCCTATCTAGGGAAATAAACACAACTATGTTAGTTAGTACAGAAAGTCATTAAGGAGATGTACTAATGGCAATTCCATGTTTTTTTTTCTACATGACTAAATACGTTAAGTACATTAACATTACAATGTGCAGGTATCAGCAAAACTAATGTTGAACAGCTTCCTCCATTCCAAATTAGAGTAAGATTACTTTGGTTTTTTTGGCTTGTTGTTTTTAAAGCATAGTTATCCTATGGATGTAAATCCGTTACGACAAGCTATTTGCAGTCTTTCTTCACTTTCTTCCAGGACATTGTGAATAAGACTCCTGATTCACAACCTTTCTTACTCCTTGAATTGAGGTCAATTCCTTCTTCTCAGTTCAACGGACACCCTTGTTAACAAGATACTTCATACAAAGAGAAGTTTTCCTGCTGCCGTGTTTCAGAACAATGAATGCCACCATCCTAACAAGTAGAAAATAGTCTTTGCACTTCATAGTCTGCTCAATCTCCGTATGCTGAAAACGGCACCACCAGTCCAAGACTCGTAATTCATAGCCTCAATTACATGATGCTTCCACTGCATAATAGAAGTATGATCTAGAGTTAGATTTGAAGAAGAAGCTATGCAACTGGGCTCAGGAGTGAAATGTACTTTTTCAGAAGCATCAAACAGTGCATGAAGAGAGGCAGAAAACTCTAAATGCTTATACAAATATCCCCAGCAACCTCTCCAGGTGAGGCTAATACAGTGGGGCATACGGGGAATGATGCAGAAAAAAAATAAACAAACATCACCCCCACCCCCCAACACCACAATATTCCCACGGGCAGAAAGAGTAAATAGAGCCTTCTGGTAAAGAAGGAATGGGAAGGGTGAGCCTAGGACTTGGGTGCCTGAGTGTCAACTATTTGGTATTTAAAAAAGAAAAGCACAGAAAACTACCCTGAAAGCAATGAGTAAGAATCCAGGACACCTGACTTCCAAAGGAGCATCAAACTATTTGAGAACATGGCCAAGACCTTTCTCTCTTTCCAGACACAGTTCCCCCAGCCACACAATAAAATAGGAAATTGCATGACTTGTGTGGAGTTGGTAGGTAGGGCATCCACCTGGCACATGGCAAGGCAGAATTGAACCTCTTCGGTGTCCTTCTTCCAGGGAGTGCTCTACCCTCCAAGTCAGTAATCCGCAAGGGATCTCCACCTGCAGCACAACGTCTAGATTGATGAGTTCATGTAACCACGTTATTAATGAGCGCACTTTGTCTAGTATGTCTGCTACTGGGTTTGTATCACCACTTCCATGCTCGTTATGACTCCACTCAAAGGCATAACATCTGCTTTGGGAGCTTCTGCTCTAGGACATTAAATGATAAAGGTGACTGCTATTTCCTGACTCTATCTGGTTTTAAGAAGAAAGTGATGGCAACCACATTTTCTGAGGGACCCTGTCTCACTGGGAAGCAATGGGTGGTTGAAGCTCCTGGGCCAGGTACTTCAGGGGATAAGGTTTCTGGTGTACATGGGAAAGACGTCTTGCTGTTCAGACTGCAGTTGGTCAGTGCATGCTCAGAAGTGAAACAAGGTCCAAAAGAAGAGCCAAGTGATTTTAGGTCCTTCTGGAATTGAGCTCTTCCCATCTGTTCCCTGTTCAACAGCTGCTCTGTTTAAGACTTGGTCCATAAAACCCATCTGAACCTCTATTAGTATCTAACCCTTAACCAAATTCAGAGACTCCATAAACTTAAAAGCCTTTTCTTGCTAAGGCTGAAGTTAAACTGAAAAAACCCCAAACACATCGCTCCCTCAGTCCCTGCTATATTCTTTTTACTTACCTAGGGAAAAAGTTAAAAATCTTAGTCACCACAAAAAATAGAGGCAGTACAGCTTAACTTTACGGGGGGAGGAAAAAAACCACCCCAAACCAAAAAATTAGGCAGATAAGAACGTGCTGCGAATCCCCTTTTGCCAACTACAAGTGACCCCGAAGCTCCTGGGATCCTCTTAGGAGGGCAGAAGGTGTCCAGCTAAGCTATTGAAAAAGCTAATTTTGGAAACTCAGTTTATTCCTTTAAGTGTTTATCATGCGTGCTGGTTTTGGCTGGGGTAGAGTTAATTTTCTTCATAGTGGCTAGTATGGGGCTATGTTTTGAATTGGTGCTGAAAACAGTGTTGATAACACAGGGTTATTTTCTTTATTGCTGAGCTTCTCACCCCACCCCACCAGCGACTAGGCTGGGGGTGCACAAGAAGTCAGGAGGGGATGCAGCTGGGACAGCTGACCCCAACTGAGCAAAGGGATATCCCATACCATATGATGTTGTGCTCAGCAATAAAAACGAGGAATAAGAAGGAAGGGGGGGAAGTTCGGAGTGATGATGTTTTGTGTTCCCAAGTAACCGTTATGTGTGATGGAGCCCTGCATTCCTGGAGATAGCTGAACACCTGCCTGCCGAATGAATTCCTTGTTCTGCCGATTCTCTCCCCCATCCCTCTGTGGGGGGAGGGAGTGAGCGGCTGCGTGGGGCTTAGTTGCTGGCTGGGGTTAAACCATGACATCATGCAGTCCAATCAGCACCATAATTTGCTTTAGACTACACAGAGGCAAATCTAGTAGTGTCCCATTAACAACAGAATGGCAGAACAGTGTAACATGGGCCTCTGAGCCTGTAGCACAGGAAAAGTGTAAACACTATTAATGCTTACAAAAGAAAAAAAAATTCCTAAACACATAACACTTCAGTTTTGCAGGAGGCAACCCAGGATTGTTAATAGAAGCAATAAAGGCAGCATTTTGAATAAATGCAAGTCCAGTTCTTTCCACCTTGCCTTTCAAATTAATCTTGAAATTTTACTCTTCTTCAGCGTTTGAGGTGATCCTTCTTGTGCCCACAGGTAGATTTTGCAAGATATTTTTATTTAGATGTATTTTCACATGACTATCTCCTGCACCCCTCCTTCTGCAATATCAGGTTTTCTTTTATATTACATTCAAGATGTACAAAAAAGCCGCAGGTTTCCAGTAAAGGATCTTCTGGTCATAAAATGCTGAAGCTTGTCTATTGTTGGTCAAAGGGTCAAGTTACTCTGTCTCAGCAAATTGCACCAAAAATATCGGCTAGCAGAGAGGGCAATAGTGCAAAATCTGCCTCAGCCAACTGTACTGTGTTTGGCCATTGAATGTTGTAAAATAGATATATTATATAGATTATTGCAAGCCTGAAAAATCTGGTCATCAATACTGGTGACAAGTGCTACTATAATCCAATTACCCAGTCATACAGTGACAGAAGAGTTGAAGAAGAGTCACATACAAGACTCACTAGAAGAAGCAATAACATCTGACACTTGCAAAGGCTATATGGAAATACTATGATACACCAACAATCACTGGAATTCAATTTTTTCCTCTTTCTTCTGGATCTATGAAGTACCCAGAGGTCATGCTAGCTCTCACTCCCGTTTAACTAACACAAAACAGTTACAACACAAGATAGCTGAAGAAATGTATTTATTACCTCCTTTAACTTTTCCACATTATCCATCACCTTTTCATATATATCATTGGCAGCTTTCAGCTTTTTGCTCCATTCCTCTGGGGTTTCTGGGCCACTGGTACTTGCTTCATCTGCTGACTGGCTAGTTTCCTCATTTTGGCATGATAAAGCTGATGCTGTAGGATCCAGAAGAGATTTCAGCTGTGTCTGTAAACTGAGATTTTTACCTCTCAGATCTTCCACTTCTTTTTGCAGGGATTCTATTTCATCCTAAAGGTGTCAGAAATTCACAGGAATTAAACGAATGCGTGAGATTAATTAAATAATACCGGCAAGTTCCCACAGCACTTTAGAAACATGGGTTCTCCGGCAAGCCCAGATGCATGCCTTCACTTACACATATATCTAAGTATGCTTATGTATTGTGCTCTAGGCAGGATTTTAATCAACCTGCACGCTCAAGCATAGTGAAGGTTTTAGCGAAGGGAATCCCTTGACTACATAAAGGACCCTGAACAAACTGGCGGGCAGACCAAAAGCTTCAAAGCATGCAGCAACATGAATCTATTATTAGGGCACTCTGTGGGAGGATTTCCTGTATCAAGAGTGTTCTATAAGGTCGTCCTCTGCTGACTCATTTGCTGTTATTTGAGAATGTTTCTCTCGTATCATTCTGAAGCATCACATGTTCGGATGCTAGAAAGTCTCAAGATTCAAACCGGACAGAACACTGCCTGGAAGAGGCTGCTCCAGCTACACGAAAGTAGCAACATCTTAGGAAAGACTCTCAAAATGCAAAGAGCAAGGCTTTTAGCTGTATTGGTCTGAAGCCACAGAGAAGCAAAAAAAAAACCTTCAAAAGCTTGTTGTTAAAAGGATAAAAGAAATAATTTATGCTGAAAACATGTCTTCTGCACTGTTCACCAACTTAAATACTCAAGTTGCTCAAGGTCAGATTACTAAAGGAGGTCATATACGGCATTTACATTAATCTAAGGCACATTTGCACGAATAATCAAGCTTCCCCCTGCCCCCCATCATGAGAACAGCAATTTTAAATTTAGTTTTTTTGATGAGATTTATATTATCCTATGCCTATCTGTGTGATTTTGGAGTTCATTCAATAGAAAGGCAGGAAACCTCCTTTTTTCTGACTCCTTCTTTCATAAAGGATGAAAGAAGCTGAGCTACAGGCAAGCTTGTCATTAAAGACAGCCCTTACTTCCCCAGTGTTAAGGATATATACAGTGTCCATTTCCTTTCTCTCATTCTCCTCCCTGAGACAGGTTTCCTTGCAAAATATGTGGTCTTCACACTGCTGCTATTAAGGAGACAACAGCTGAGAAAACAAAGTAAGCATATTCCTTATTAACACCTTTTCATCTTGTTCCTAAGAGAATATTTTTCCAGCAGGAGAGTGGAGATAAACTTGCAAGCACTCACTCGCTTTCAGAAAACAATAAAGCAACAATGATAAAAATTAACCTATGCCATAAGGTTACAGGGGGCAATTTTATTTAGGAAGGAATTTAGTCTCCCTGAGCAACAGGGAATTACTTCAGAAAATGTTTGCATTTGTATTGAAGACAAAACAAAAAGCCCCCAACACCCAATATACATAAAGAAAACCCTCCCATACCACCTGGGGGTGGAATTCCCACAGAACTATGGTATTGACTGTACTTGGCTACCTGTAGCATAGAAAGAATATCACCATGACTTCAGTGGGATCACTTCAAGCACCAGCAAACACTCTACCGTAACCTTAGCCAGAAGGTAGGATTTTAACGCAGCTGAGTTTCATGTAGATTCAGTATAAACCTTTACTCAAATTAAAAACAACAGGACTCAAAGCAAAAGGACCAGTTGTATGCAGTAATTTAACAGCTGCAGTTCATCCGGAAAGTCGCAACACTCCCCATGTCCTTACCTCATATTCCTTGTGGAGCAATTCAAGCCTCGTTTTACGTAGGTGTTTTCTGACTGTCGGACTAAATATAGTATCACTTTCACTCGTTCCTCCTAAAGCAGCACAGGATGAAAGAAACACTAATATTGTTTCTTTTTCGGTCAATTCAACATTAGTAATCCACCTTATAGCGTTTTCCATATTATCAACTACAAATACAGCTAATATTGGACCAAGCTACTGCCATGGGAGATTTAAAGTCCTTTCATTTTCAGAATGGGTTAAACAGGAGTATCTATTAGTAATGTTTAGAAGTCAAAATCCTGCCTTACAGCAGGAAGACAACTTTTGAATTTTTCAACTTTGTAGTTTCCTTGACAGAATCCTATCTTATTTAAGACCATACTATTAAAACAGACCTAAGAATAACAAAAGATAGTGTAAGTTTTAGATATCTTTTTCTCTCAGAACCAAATAGTAGAGCTGACATTTTATGTCAAATAAAGATCTCAGTATTTCCTAGCTCTGGGGAAGTTCAGATCCTCATTCAAGTGTTACAGCTTTGACTTATTTCTGTGCTAAGAGACATTTTCTTAAAAAAAAAAAAGCAAAAGGGAGGAAATGGTAAACAAAACAAACAAACAAACAAAAAAAGACCACATACTGATTCAAGATTCTGGATTTAAGCACACTATTTCTCAGCTAAATGCTATTCTTTTAGGTCAACAGGTTGCAATACATAGGTAGAGTACTTCAAGCGAGATGCATTTTTTCCAGTTAAAGGCACCATCCAACCAAGATTTAGAAAACAATCATTAGAGCTGTGGGGTGCTTGCTGCCTTTGAATAATCTAGCCATTAATACACACATCATCTTCAGAATTTTTACCTTGCAGCTATTATGTATGCTTCTGGAAAGAGTTAAAGACAGATCTTCCTTAGACACTGGTAAAAAAAACACAGAGGAAAAAATATCCAGACATCTTTGGACTCAAAAGAATCTCCTTCAGCAGTAAATATCAGAAAGTTATTTCAAAGCCTAAAGTTTTCCTTACCTATAATTTCCTTGCAAGGATTTTCAGGTGTGATGGGAATCCTGCAAGCTGGACACTGATTATTGTTCTTCAGCCACACTTCAATACAAATGGAACAGAAGACATGGTTGTTGACGCAGATGACTGGGTGACGGACCTTTCAGTAATGGGGGGGGGGGGCAGGGAGAAAACAAAACAAACAGAAAGATACTATGAATACTTTAAAACTCTTTCAGGGAACAGAATATGAAAATACACTACTCCATCTCTCAGTGCAAGTCTGGTCTTGCAGGAAAGAGACACTTGTTTCACAGGGCTAGCTAGGAGTGACTTCCTGACTCACAACACCAAACTTCCCTGTTACTGAAGGCACCAAAGCTATAACCATTTTTGCAACACTAAGGTCCGTGATTCCAAGAGCTCATTAATACACAGTGTGGCAGGCACCCTTCCTTCACCCCACAACCTCCAAGAACTGCAGCCAGCCACTCCAGTGAAATGCATTCGCCTCCCTCAGTAGAAGGGGACCATAAGACACACATTAACTGATTTCCAAAAGTGAGGGAATGAGGGATTGCTCCTGGCAACAACCAACACTTTGCCTTGGAAGAGGTGTCACTGAAACAGATAGTGTTACAGATTAACTCTAGCCTGCACATAATCAGCTTCATGGAAATCAGCCTTTAAAAGGATAAAGGCTGAACCCACAGAGGAGAAACATGAACCAGCAATCACTAATTCAAGCCTCCTGCTAGATATGCATTGCTACTAAATAAGTCATTACCCAAGAATGCGGCAGCTAACTGAAGGATTAAATATTCCAATCAGACACAGATCCTTTCAAGAAGCTTTCCCTCCTCTTCCAAAACAGCAGGGTAAACAAACTTTTAGAAAATATTAATGACAATGCATTATTCTGTCTTGTCATTTAACTGTAAACCCTGCTTGAAAGTAAGTGTGCATACAGGGACCAAATAGGATAAGGAAGAAGACAACTTTCCTCTATATCTATGCCTTACTGCAGCTTCTGTTACAGCTTACTGTAATACACACTCTCAAATCTCTTAAGACTTAACAGTACTATCTGTGTTAGGGGTCTTAAAAATAATTATTTCTTTTTCCTCCACCACGATCTTTGCCAAAGAAACTTGTTTTGAGACACAGAAGTAGCAGTATCTATTACTTTAGACTCTACGGTGTTGCACTTAAAACCCAAGTACAAGACAATTCTTTCAACTTTAAAATAAGTCCTCATCATCCCCAAGATCTTCCTCTTTCATTCTATTAGTAATCAAACTAAAAAGGAAAAATGAAACATTTGCAGGGAGAAGCAAGCACTGGAAAGGACAGCCAAAAATCGCTTCGGAAAACAGATTAGATGTGTCCTGTAGTAATCATACCCATACAATCAGTGTTGCACAAGCTAAAACCCAAGCGTTTTACCACTGAAATACATATGGATTTGAATTAAGGCTCAGATCCGTCAGCTTCTTCTCCAATTTACTGTCTATGTCTCTGTCACATTACGGGATTCACAGCATCTTTAAAACCTCCAATATGACAGTCCTGGGAGCCAAAGGATTTATCTATACACAAACAGAAACTCAGGTTATTGAAGGTGTGAATACAGAGAGACTAAGCGATTTCTCCAAGTGTCTGCATACTTTCAGCTCTAATTAACAGAGGCTTTTTTGTGATTAATGCAAGCATTAGCACACCAATGCTTTGGAAACATTTAAATATTACAATTTCAATTATATATTAAAAAAATCTCATTATTTACTGCTTTTCTTTCCCCGAAAAAGAGCTTTCTCCAGCTTTCCCACCAGCAGCTAGAAGAAAAAAAAAAAACAACTTTTTCTCTAGCCGTAGTTCGTTCTTCCTCAGAAGCAGCCTAAGAAAAGTTATATGGATGGTGATGATAGGATACAGAGCAGATAAACAAAATAATCCAAACAGGAAAAGACATTTCAGGAGTGCAGGTCTCCCCCCTGGGGAGCAAGAGACCCTCAGTTACCCCAAACCTGACACGGAAGCGCACTTCTTGCAAGTGAGTGATTACTCCATATCTCTAGCAAAATAGTAAGTCACATTTATTACTCTCCAGGGTACAGTGCTTCTGATTTACACACCTTTACAAGTTTCATTTCAGGGTTGAGGTTTATACTTTTGTTGGCTCAGGATCCACACAAAGCAATCCACGCGACAGCAGCAGAAGCCGCTGTTGAAGTGTCACACAATGGCTGGGGGTGCCACTGCCCTTCACCGAGTCCCTGAGATGCTGACCGTGACAAGCCCGGGGCGGGGTATCGTGATATACTCATTACTAAGAAAGCATTTCACTTGAATTACAGCACAGTTTCAGTTCCTTAATCAACCAGAATGTCTAGAAAGACTACAGCCTATTTGGTAAGACTTGATCAGCTAGGGGATTTTGAGCAATTTCCCAATTTCTCCCCACGCATAATGCGATTCCTCTGCAGATCAAAATCAAATCCTGTACACACCTATGTCACTTTGAAGGCACTTCTGGACCTTCAAGCAGCATTAACGGAGGAGCAGGCGTGTGGAAAAGCAGGCACATTGATACCAGTGAACAAATCCCCAGACATCCTAGGGGGTTTCAACACACACAGAATCATGTGTGTGAGCCCAAGCAAACTGTGAACACCAAAACCAAGAGGAGAGATTCAGTCATTCTAGGACGAGTAAACCTAACGGCCTGATGCAGATGGCTTCTGATCTGCTCACTAATTATGAATACAGGTATGTTAGAAGATAGCTCAGACTGTGTTAAAAGAACATTCAGGTAACGAACATGAAATTCATTCAAGCAATTAAGTCTTATTATAAATGGTTATTTGCACATCTTGCCAATATACTTTACGACACTGTTCACACTAACAAAATGGGCCAATGTTCCCCCCCCCCCCAAGATTTCTGCTTCATTAAAAACAATGAGTGGTCCACATTATTGAATGAGTTTCTCTTCAATATCTCTTTTTAATCCCCTTACCATTATGCACAGTGAATAGTTTCTATTTTGCAGCCTGTCCTTTGTAAATTTTGCAGAGATAGCAAGAGGTAAATTCTGATTGTAGGGTGGGCCTTCTACTCCATTTGAAGTCTATGCTACAAACCACAGAATATGTCAACCCTCAATGACACTTTCTGCTCCCCCTTACAAGATAGGATAAAACCGGCAAGATTTTTCCCTGTCGCGGTTTAACCCCAGCCAGCAACTAAGCCCCACACGGCCGCTCACTCCCTCCCCTGCCCCCGGTGGGGTGGGGAGAGAATCAGAAGAGTAAAAGTGAGAAAACCTATGGGTTGAGATAAGAACATTTTAATAATTGAAATAAAGTAAAATAAATAATAATAATAATAATTATAATTATAAAGAATATACAAAGCAAGTGATGCACAATGCAATTGC